CCAGATTTACGAGACCCCCCCCCCCCCCCCCCCCCGAAAAAAACAAGTCGCACACCGTCCCCCCTGCCTCCAGCACAACAGCCTTGGCAGTCTTTTCTTTGTAATCAAGTTAACATGTCCGATAAAGCATGTAAGGGTTAGGGCTAGGGCTAAAAAGGACTAAAAGAGGACAGGGTCTGCTCTGCGCACCCCCTCCCTGCTCCATTTCCTCATTAAACATAAAACATAAAACATAAAAATAATTTATCTAATTTCTCGCGAAGGCGGTCCGTCTCTTCCCGTCTCTTCCCGTCTCTCTCTCTCTCTCTCTCTCTCTCTCTCACCGTCAGCTCCCCGTCCCGAGCCCCTCCCCCGGTAGCGGCAGCCGCGCGGCTCCCCCCGTTCGCCGCCGCCGCCGCCGACGACGACCCGGAACCCACCGCCTCATCCTCATCATCGTACTCCTCATCGTCCTCGTCGCTGTCGAAGTCGTCGTCGTCATCGTCCTCGCTGCTTCCCTCGTCCCCGCTGCTGGCCGGGTGGTCGCTGCCCACCGCCCTTCGCCACACGGCCCCGACGTTGCCGTTGCCGCCAGTTGAACCCCCGCGGCGGGGCCAGGAGCCGCTCACCCCCCCCCCTCCCCGGCCAGAGATCCCCCCGGTGCTCGCGCGCAAGCTGGAGGCCTTGCCGCTTCCGCCGCTGGTCGAGGACGGCTGTGCCAGCACCGTGGACCAGGCGAACTTGGACATGTTGAGGTGGGGACCCTTGAAAGCCGGGCAGGAGCGGGGCACGTGCTCCCCGAGAGCCACGAGGGTCTTGACGACGTTCGGGATGTCCTTCTCCTCGTAGAGATCCGCCTGGCGTTCGCGTTCGTGTGTTGGTTGAATAGTATTCATGGGTAGACGGCAACGGTGCCATGACAACGACGGGGATAGCCCAGAGAGAGAGACAGAGAGACAGAGAGACAGAGAGAGAGAGAGAGAGACCACAGAGAGAGACAGAGAGAGAGACAGAGAGAGAGACACAGAGAGAGAGAGAGAGAGAGAGAGAGAGAGAGAGAGAGAGAGAGAGAGAGAGAGAGAGACCACAGAGAGGGAGAGGGAGAGAGACCAGATCAGCCATCAGTGTGCTAGGGCGGTGGGCGGAAGGGCACGACGACCATCACCACCACTACCGCCAGCGGCGGAGGTGGCGGCAAAAAAAACAAGACGGGCAGCTCGAAGGCGCACCAGAACACAAGTCGAGGAACGGAGAGCTACGAGGAGAGAGAGAGACAAAAAAAAGGATGACTAGCTTCGGTGCATGTATTTTTTGCACCGGCGATCTTACAATCATGACTCCCTCTGTGCGATTGCTGTCTGATCTCCCCTGTCACCACCAACCAACAGAAAACACACAGTTCTAGATTCGGGACGAGCAAAGAACGGTTCGAGAAGAACCGCCACAAGATCGAGCCATCCTGAAACCTCCAAAGGATACAAAAATCCTTCAACACCCCCCCCCTTGACAAAAAGAAAAAAACGTCAACTGTGGTTATATCTCGAGCGGGTACTGTAGTCTTCCCGTGCTTGAATGAGTGTCGTCTGAAAGAGACAAGAAGACGATGGCGGCCTGGCTATCCTCACCGTTTCGAACAAGATGCTCTCGCCAAGCCCCAGAGTTCGGCAACACCGGAGGAAGATGCAGATGTTGGCCATCTGACAATGACAGTAACAACGGGGGGTGGGACAAGACAAGAGGCGAAGCGGTTACGTCCTGTGCAGTAGTAGCAAACACAAGAAGCACAAAGTCGGTTCTCAACCGGTCACTTTCTGTACAGCAGTAGCAGCGGGGGGAGATATTGCTGATGTGTCGTAGATACTCCCGCCAACAGCACAAAAGAAACGAATGGCACTGCACTTCTCCTCCCTAGGTTTGTGATGCCTCGGTATCACCCGTGCTCTCGATAGCAGCAGCTACAGTGCACGAAAACAGCCAAAGCGAACACCACCAGGAGCGAACGAAAACCACCAAAAAACATAGTAGTCATCAATCTACTTGGCGCCGAACAACACGTGTTTCGCTTTTCGCTGGTTCATAGCCACAGAAGTGATCAGCAACAGCCGACAACTGCAACCAAACTCATATTATGTACCTGCTTGTACGCCAGGGAGGAGTCGCTCGGGGCAGTGATCGGCGCCCCCGGCTGCAGCTTGCTCATGAGGCGGCACAGAGCCACGCCGTCTTTAAGGCTGTAGGCCACGCCGCACTCCGGGTCGATGTCAAGCTTCGTCACGTCCCGCACCCACTTGAGGACCTGATGCCAACACGACACGAGGAGATAACAGGCGGGTCAGAGGTAGCACTCCACTCGTGTTGTTTGCACAGGCGATGGTCACGCCCAGTTACTACGACGAATCCACGCTTCGAAAGACGAGCGAGTGCTGTACTACCAATGCAACATTCCTCAGAGTCGCTTTCAACAGCTCATGGCCCTTTGTATTGCAGCGCGCATTTTGCGTTATGATTCCGGGGGGTGGGGGGGGTGGGGGTGTGTGCAGCGGTTCGCCTGTAGGTATGAAGGTCAAGCAAGAGAGAAGAGCACCACCAAAGCCCGGTAGCCAAAAACAAAACAAAACAACAACAACAACAACAACAAGCCAGCAGCAGCACCACATCCAATCGTAGAACCACGTACCCGGACGAGAGAACACAACACATCGATAACGGGCACAAACGGCGCACGTAACACGAGCAGAGAGCTACGCTGACAAAGCCACGTGACCGTGTATCGCACCACAAACAGCCAGGCAACGTCGACAGCCAGGCAACGTCGATCGCCCCCCCCCCCCCCCCAACCCCCAAAAATGGAGCCCCCCGGAAAAAACCAACCTGGCCCCACCGGGGGCAAATCCCGCCGTCCGTCCAAAAAAACACAGGGGGGAAACTTTTCCCCCCCGGGGCCAAAATTCCGCCACTTTCAAAAAAAAAAGGCCAACCCCCCCCCCACAAAATTTGGGTACCCCCGCCCGGTGCCAACTAAACTCCCCTCCTCCCCCGACCCCGGGGCCGCCAATGGGCGGGTCTCCCCGGGGGGAAGGGCCCCCCCCCGGACCTTCCTCC